AATGCTGTGGCTGCATCTTCATAGGTCCCCACAGTCTTAGAGTCCTAATAGTGTATAAAAGTCCACCATCTCATCTGAGAATCAAGGCAGCTTGTAATGTACAATGGCACAGAATAACCATCCATATTTGCAGTGTTCAGGGAGATAAGAAGGAGAGTACCCACCCTAGCAAGACTCAACCCAGAGGGGCAAACCCCAAACCCTGTAGCTCCATGTACAGTATGTAGTGTATGTGGAGGTCTTTTCCAGACAACATTATCCCCCAGGCCCTACCTCTATGGTCCTGGTGTTTACAGGACACATGACTCTCTCTAGGGCCAGTTCCACTCACTGACTCGACTTTCCTCAGTGGCCATCCTACAGTCCTGACATTTCTAACTTCCTGGGTCTTTATTTTTACTTCAGCTTTACCCTCACAGCCTCACACAGCAAGCTCAGGAGCTGCATATGAGAGAGTGACCTAGCTACACATTTTCTATGGAACCCTGCTGCAAGTTTGGAGGTCTTGTGACTTGCATTCTGTGCATGTGAAAACTGAGTTTCTGTTGTATCTGATTGTGAGATCAGTACTAGCTTTGGTTTTAGTTAACTCCCCTGACATGACTATGCTGATGTTTTCAATAGAGATCTATTTTAATTTTACAGGCATGAATATTTTACCTGTGGACCACATACATGTCTGGCATTCACAGATGCTATAAAGGAGTATAAGGTTCCCTGAAAGTAGAGTTATAGACAGGTGTGAGCTGCTATGTAGGCTCTGAGAACTGAACTCTGATCCTCTGCAAGGAGGAGCCCTCTTAACCACTGTACCATGTTTCTAGATGGATTGTCCTAATTTTATTATCGCTTTCAGGAAGCCCTTCTTCCTACATATCTAATCCCCTCTTTCCTCTCTGCTTTTCAGGCTTCTCTCTGGGTTCCACGGTGCAGTCTCACACCAAGGGGATCTGGATGTGGTGTTTCCCTCATCCCCAGAAGACAGGCCACACCCTAGTTCTGCTTGACACTGAGGGCCTGGGAGATGTAGAAAAAGTAAGGACTGGGGGCACAGTTTGCAGTTCATCCCCTCATGTTTGAGTATTCTACCCTGTTCTCTATGCTGCATTAAACCTTATTATGTATTTAATTATATAGTGTGTGTGAGTGTGTGCCTGTGTGTGCATTGCATGTGCCCTGATGCATGTCCCACCATGCAGATGTGGAGGTTAGAGGAAAACCGGTGGGGTCTGTTCTCTGTCCCACCATGTGCCTCTGGGATTGAACTCAGACTCCAAGGCAGGGCAGCAATAAAGTTTTAACTTAATCATAGCAGCATTTTCACATTTATTATATAACATGTGCCATATTTTGATGGGGGATGTCCTTCTGTACATATGTTTGTCTTATTGGTTGATGAATTAAAGACTAATTGGACAGGCAGGATGATCTGTAGAACTAGGAGGATTCTGGGAAGTATAGCCAGTGAGGAGTTGTCATGTGATCCCACGAAGTGACATAGCTGGGCATAAACTGCCACTAGCTAACCATTGAGGTCCTGAGGTCTGTAGAGATAGCAGAAATTGACATAGCTGGGCAGAATCAGAATATAAGCTGGGACAAACAGGAAATCATTCTCTTCTCTGTGGAGATGCTGAACAGTCAAAGTATAGGTTTGCAGAAGTGTAAGAGGTCCCTGGACCTTTCTCCTTTAAGAGAAGACCACATGGGAATACTTAGATTATTAGAAATGGGTTAGTAACTGAGACCGGGCTAAACAATAAGAAACCTTAGCAAATGGCAATCAGCTTTATAATGAATATAGTCCTGTGTGTTATTTGGTGGCTTGAGAGGCAGTGGGACCCAGGTGGCTGGTGGGAAAGAGTAGACATAACAATGTTTAGCCTACAGAAATGAGGGAACTTGTCACAGGACTGGACTGTAGAACAGCAGGGCACAACAGCGAATCACTCACAACAGACTAAGCAGCACCAGTGAGCATCATCACAAATAAAACCACAAATCACAAGAGTGTTCACCCAGCAAGAGTTGTGGATGGCATCCTTAGGTCTATTTGTATTCCTTTTGTTTTGTTTTGTACATTACATAGGTCACACAGGTGTTTTGTTTCATTTTTAGGATAAAATCACTTCTAATTGAGTGTATTTTTACCACTGCTGGTCTGAAAGTGACAGAGAACCCGAAAAACCTGTGATCCATGTGTGTTCTGACTTACAGGGTGACAATCAGAATGACTGCTGGATCTTTGCCCTGGCTATACTTCTGAGCAGCACCTTTGTGTACAACAGCATGGGACCCATCAACCAACTGGCCATTGACCAGCTCCAGTATCCCTTGTGAGGGCCAGAACAGCACCAAAGCAAGTTGGGTGACCTACCCTCATGAACCAGCTCAGTCACTCAAACAAACAAAGAAACAAACACACACACACAAAAACCCCTCACATATATGTCCCTAAAGTGTTCACACTTATGTTAGGAACAAGACAAATGAAGGTTAGGGGCTAGGTTCCAGCAAGATGTGGAATTACATGGAATGGGTACATTAAAACTTTGGTTGTTGCTATGGTTGTTTCTGGGGCTTTCCTTAATTAGCTGTGCAGCTATGTAACAGAACTGACAGACAGAATCAGATCAAGATCTTCACCTGACCAGGATGAGGTGGAGGACTCAGATGAGTTTGTGAGATTCTTCCCGGATTTCGTGTGGGTTCTGAGGGACTTCTCTCTAGAGCTGAAATTAAATGGGGAACCCATATCTGCAGATGAATACCTAGAGAATTCCCTGAAGCTTAAACAGGGTAAGAGACTTGCATCGACCAGATGAGGATGTCAATTAAACCCTCAAAAATTCAGATTTTTCTATGTATAATTTTTACGTATCTGCAGTTTTTAATTATTCTAGCTTGTTACTCCTGGGAATTAGTGCTTAACATATGATTTAATAGATTTACTCAAACATTTTCTCTTTTGTAATGAGAACAAATTTGTCTTTTACCTTTTCCTTTATATTAACTTATTTAATCTCTCTTCTTATAACTTGTTTTTGTTTTGAAACAGGGAATACAGTACATATGAAGATATATTTGAAAATGGTAAACTGTTACCAGTATTTTAGCCCAAATGTTGGAACATAGTGACCCACAACTTCCAATTGTCGTTGGAAATCAAATGGTGCTGTACTCTTGAATTTATATGTCTACGAATCAAGTCCAGCTACACTAAGTGGGTTGAATACTTAGAATGAAATAATCTTTTTTTCCTAAGAAGCCTAACAAAGCAGTCAGCCTTCTGTTAGACTGAAAATCCTTAAAGCAAACATCATCCCAATTTTCTATTCTTTTGCTTTGTGTTTTCAGGGCCTCACTGTCTGACCTAGGTTGGGCTCAAGTTATAATCCTCCTGCCTCAACTTCTATTATGCTAGAATTACAAAAGATCATGTGACTAAATTTAAAAATGTATATTCACCTTCCATGTCCTGGCAATAATAAATCCTATTATTGCTCTATTTAGGTACTGGTCAAAGAGATAAAGTAAAAGAATTAAATCTGCCTCAGCTCTGTATCCATAAGTTCTTCCCAAAGAAGAAATGCTTTGTCTTTGAGCGGCCAGTTCATGGGAGGAAGGTTGGTCAGATGGAATCATTGCAGGATCAAGACCTGGACTCTGACTTTGTGGAACAAGTGGCAGAGTTCTGCTCTTACTTGTTCAGCTCTTCCAAGGTTAAGATGCTTTCAGGATGCATCAAGGTCAATGGACCACGTGAGTCCTTTCCAAGTCCTCTTGCTCACCTCTTAGGCCATACTACCATGAGATATCTATGGCCAGCTTCTGCTTTGAACAAACATAACCCTATCACCACTGCAGTGCTAAGATGTAGATGGTACCATCATTTACAATAGATTTTGTCCACCAGATTTTCTTGTTGTGAGGAAGGAAAGGGGGTAAAAGAAAAAACTTTTAAATTATTCTAGTAAACTGCATTCACCATACAACAAGTAAGCGAGTATGGCTCTCAAAATTTAGGTATCAGAACAATAAGATTCAGACAGAGTTAGTCATTGTCATGTCAGCACACATAAAGAACTATTGGGTAAGGCAATTTATTCTAATCAACTTGATGGAGAATTTCTGACTGGGAGTGCATGTTTGATTACTAAATTAAAATGAAATGCTTACTACGGACATGTCTGACGACACAGACAAGCACGACAGAGGTATGGAGCCTGTTCTCATAGTGCTTGCACCAAAATGGACACAAACATTCCATAGACACAAGCCCATGTAATCTCCATCCAGCATTCTTAGCCTTTGGGGTCTCACAACTCTTGAGAGGATCTTTACATAGAGTAACGTCTAATCCCATCAATGTGAGGTAGAGGCTGAGATGCTTCTGTCTGTCATTTTTCCCAATGTTGCTAAGGGCACTGTGATTGACGTATCCAGAATTAAACAGAATACTGCTTTTGTCATCCATCAGTAGCAGACATTGTCATCTGTTTGTAGGACTAAAGAGTTTGGTGGTAACCTATGTGAACACCATCTGCAGTGGGAGTCTGCCCTGCATAGAGAATGCCGTCCTGGCTTTGTCCCAGACAGAGAATGCAGCTGCAGTGCAAAAGGCCATTGCCCACTATGACCAACAGATGAACCAGAAGTTGCAGCTGCCCACAGAGACCCTCCAGGAGCTGTTGAATGTACACAGGGCCAGTGAGAAAGAAGCCATCAAGATCTTCATGGAAAATTCCTTCAAAGATGTTAATCAAGTGTTCCTGACACAATTCGTGGTAATTTGTCTCTCAAATTTATCTAGATGTAGGTTTTGTTAGGCAATGTGTTGTGAGAAAATGAAATCAGTGTTTGAGACAGTCATATGTTACTAGATTGTAAAGTAGTAATAACTACTTCTTAATAATCATATTATTATTAAATCATATTTAATGGGATAAAAGTGGATTAACAGAGACTCAAAGCTTCAAAATATTTCTTCTTTCAAAATAAGTTAGTAACATTCCCCCTTCATTGACTTAAGTATAGAGAAGTAATTTGTGTGTCTGATCAAGTCACATGTCCAGTATCAGCAGACCGATTCAATGTTCAATCCAATAGCAAAGCTATTTATGCTTTGACCTATCAGAGGAAAATTGGCATTGAGCCATGTTTACTTCATGTGACATCTCTAGTTCAGCCTGAAATGAGTTTACTTCTAAATCTGTAAATCTCTGATCTGAACTTCACTGCCAAGAGGCAATGATAGTGTCACTAAAAGGCTGACATTAGAGGAAAGATGCTGTCACAGTCAATGTTTATAAGTTATCCTTGTTTGATGTTTTGTGTTTCTTTTGAGAAATGCATCATAAATTCTAAACTCAGGGTTTTTTCCATTCTTACATATTTTCTTTTGATTTCTACTTTAAAGACCGAGTTAGAAACAAAGCAAGAGGAATTCCTTAAGAAGAATGAGCAGGCATCCTCGGATCGCTGTTTAGCTCTGCTTCAGGATATTTTCAATCCATTTGAAGAAGACGTGAAGCAGGGGATTTATTACAAACCAGGGGGATACCATCTTTATGTCCAGAAGACACGGGAGCTGAAGAAAAAGTACTATGATGAACCCAGGAAGGGGGTTCAGGTAATGATGGTTACATGTGTGTTCTGGGGAGCCACTGACTTCATCCAGACCGCAGAGTGACCCCCAAGCATCATTATGAGAGTGTGCTAATGTTTGCATTGCAGGCATATGTTCCTTCAGCACAACATTGGTGCAGGTTGTCACACTACATATTCCCTGCATATTCAGAGACAGTGTACTCCCTTGACGATTGAGTTCACAGTTAACAATCATATTAACCACCAGTATGACTGTCACCCTGTGTATCAGATAGATTCTTTGTGTTGCAAAGGCCCAATAATAGTCCCTCAACAATCTTATAATTCATCAGTTTGTGCTCAGAATTAGCATTAAAAGACAACTGGCTGTGGTAATATCATCCCATGTCTGTTTTTCTGTTACTCTCACCCAGCCTTATATTGAGAGGGTCTGAGAATCTGAGAATATTCCATGACAAACAGGGTTTGAGCAGGCCAAAAGTTTATTTTAAAAGCTGATAAATCAGGTAGGCGTCCAGTTTTTGATATGATATTTGTTGACACCCATTTCTGCTGTGCAGTCTATCTGCATATAATTGGGGGTTCTGGGATTAAGACAAAACCAAAATTTTTATGTGGGATCTGGAGAGGAGGAGTTTAAAAGGTTTAATACATAGTATACTGAGAGAAGGGCTGCAGAGCTCTCTGTGTTGTGCTGGCTCCAGACTGATGCCAAGGTCACTCTCCTTCACATTCTGGAGCCTGAGTAGATATGATGATAGGGATGAAAACCACTCCCTCATCCTGAACAGGGTCCAGTATTCAGTTAGGGGCAATAGGTTCTGGGATCCATTCCTCCTGTGGGGGAAACTTCTGAATGCTGAAAGTATTCCAGAATCTGGGAGGACGTGGTTGCTCATCCTGAGTCCCAAGTCTTTCTCGTTTCCCAGGCAGTGGACAAACAAACATAAACATTTATTTGGACCAGGCTTAGCTTTTCCACCTGCTGGCCAGATCCGAGTCCCTCTCTTCTCATAAGGTCTTTGTCCCTTCCATACTTCTTCACCCATGGCCCATGTGTCTAACATCTCAAGAGGAGCAGTAATAATCCTCTAGAACCCCATAATTTAGTTTTCCCACTGGGCAAGCATAGAATGAATTTGTTGCCTAGTTGGTCTACAGAACAGGATGCCCACAGCCAAGTCTTGATACCTCTAACTACATCTGTGGGACCCCTGATCCTGGGGCAGGGGCTTCAAACCCAACAGTCTGCAGAGATCCACATGGAACATGGGGGACCCATATGTGGTAACATTTGCAATCATTGTCTATTTCCTAGTGTGGGATAGGGAACCATGACATCAGGACTGACATATATGGGTTGTTAGCTTTTATCAGATCCATTAGGGAGAATAGGAAAGTCAGGTAGAAATGAATCTTAGCTATAGTGGGTCCTGTGGGTGGGGTCACATAGTCCATCTTTTGTTTCTGTCCTTGTTGGACCATGTGATGTACACAGGATTTAATTTCATGTACTTTCACTGTTGAGGATGTGTTCAACATAACAGTATGGGATACCTTCCAGAGAGACTGCAAACACTCCTTTTGTTGATTTCTGACCCAGTCAAGGTTTCCTGGCTTGTAGCTATGAGGTTTTGGGTGGGGGGTGGCAGCTCATATACCTGCCATAGCAGAGTCAACAATCTATGTTGGATGGGGTCCTCTGGCTTCAGTTGTACTATGTTTGGCTCTAGGTGCTGTCCTAATCCAGGTGGGTTATTCTCTGCCCAGATTAGTGGGAATTTTAATTGGAGCTCCTTCAATGGTGGGTGGGGGGTTCATTTGGCATTCCAGGGCTCCCTTTCCCTGGGGATTAAAGAGGTATTCTTCCCCCAGGTAAAGAGCAACAAAAATTCCAGAGTTTGGATCCTTCTTTTGAGGGAATTTTATGTTTATAGTATCATCTTTGAAGATCAGTTTGGGCAGCAAATCTCACTCCAGGAGGCAATAAGAGAATTTGGGGTCACTATGAAGGAATGAGTCACTGTGCCTCTCCCTAGATTGACCTCTCTTACAGTGGCTCATGGGTAATTTTGGTACACATAGAACTATGGATGAAAGTCTGTTGGGTAGGATTAGTGAACCCCTGGCTCCATTAGGAAGGATAATTGAGACCTTGCATCTATTGGTACTTTTACAAACTTTCCCTCTACTTTGAGAGTTTTCCTCACCTCCTGGAGGGAGACAAAACACTGACCTCCTGGGTTTTCTTCAAGTTTGAAAAATTTATTTGGATTTTTTTCTCTGACCAATTGTGGCACTCTGTTTGCTGATGTCCAAATACCTTACAAATCGTACACTGATTTTTTTGTAGCAGGGTCTGTCCCCAGCAGGCTCCAATCTCATGGGACCTGCTTTTTTGCTCCCTCCCCCAGATTGCCATGTCTTTTGGCTTCGGTCCTCATTTAATGCAGCCAACATTACTTTTGAGTCTTCCAAGTCTTCCTCTCCTCCTGGTCCTCTGGATTGTTGTAAACTCTGGTAACTTTCTACCAATTTTGAGACATTTGTCTCCCTCAAATCCCTCCAACTTCTCAAGCTTTTTACATAGTGTGAGGTGCAGATTGAGTCACAAATCTATGTTGATAGCCCTCCTGTTTTCTTCTGCTTCTGAGTCTATAGGAGAATAGGTGAGATACACTTCTATCAATTGGTCCAGAAAAGCAAGTGGGGACTCCTTGTTTCCTGGACTACTTGAATGAAAACCCGATATATCAGGGAGGGGACAGGTTTTGGATCCATACAATGCCCTCAAACAGGGACAGCAAGCAACTTAAAGGAAGAAAACCAGAAAGAGACAGCCCCCAAGATTCACTCAATCAAAATGTAATATGGGAAGAAATAATTGGGGGCTTTCATGGTGGCGCACTTTTAGCCTATCAGTGAGTCCTATAGTTTGTTGCTGTGGCTAGTGTTGGGGCCAACCAATCAGGAGGGGGGATGTCTGTGGATTAATTTTATCCTAGACACCTGTCAAGGGTGTTTTGGGTTGTAGCTAAGCCCCCAGAAATTGTGGGAAACATCTTAGGGCAGAATGAGCTGTGAACAAACTGTTCCTTCTACTAACTAGGATCTAATAATACTATCCTCTTTTAATCATCTCTCAGATCTTTTGTTCAATATGAAAGCTACAGCAAAATCACCCCTCCTATCAGCACAGCACCATTTTTCCAAAGTTAGAGCCCATAGTCTAGAAGGACCATATATTTGTTCAAAATGGGTCTCTAATAAAAGATTCCTCAGTGGGGTCCACACTGTGCTATGTATATACTTCTGTGTCTGGAAATCATAGCACCAAGAGACATCAGTAAATGAAAGGGGGGGGGAGGGATACAGGCACAAAAGTTTGTAGTCATTCCTGCTGTTAAATTCATGTTCTCTGTATTTGAAGGCTGAAGAAGTTCTGCAGACATGTGTGCAGGCCAAGGATGATGTGACTGAC